AAAGACATTTGGTACTCCATGTAAATTTATAACACAAGGTACTATTTTGAAAGCCCTTGGTACTATACTGAATGAAAACTGGTACTTTTCTTTTAAAAACAGGTATCGGGGCAGAAATGTAATTTAAACCTTAGAGGGGACCATAAAGTTGTTGACTAGGGAGTTGAATGGAAAATTTTTTCACTAGGGACTGAATGAGAAGATGAATTTAGGATTGGGGATTTATCTATACATTTCCCAAAATCACACCTCTAAGACTTTTTAAGGTTTCATATAATTTAATCTAAAAATCTTAAAAGTTCATTTAATACAGTTTCTTCTAAGTTCTATTACTCCTTTTCCCCATATAAAAGGACAAAAGAGACAATTCCCTTTTGAAAGAAAATTAGGGTTTAAGTGTGTTGGCTCAAGTAGTAAGCAGTTTGATATAGCTTAAGTAAGGTCTCCGGTTCGAGTATTTCCTTGTTGGGAGACTCACCTACCACTGTGAAGTATGCGACCCAGATTGACCAACGATTAGTCGGAGCATAGCTTCGAATACCGAGATTTAGATAGTCAATTCAGTAAATTCCAATATTATATTTATCATTGACCGAAAATACAATTTTATTACGTCATAATTCGAGAGGTTTGCCCTTTGGGAGTACAAAACGATAATCTATCTGCAATTGGCGAAGGAAAAAAAAAAAAAAAATAGAGTAATAAAACAAAGTAGAGGAAGAAGATAGTTCAAGGATAGTATCATAGTGGACTTCAGATTCTTCCACAGAACTGAGACACCGCTAAACTCAGATTTTTCCTTTTTGTTTTTTTTTTTTAATTTAATTTCTCTATAGATACGCGAAGAAAGTATCGCCGATCGGAAAACCATGGGTAGCGGAGAAGGAGAGGATCTGCAGAAGGTGAAGCAGGCGGCCGCCGCCGCGTACGATTACGATTCCGACCCACGGTGGGCGGATTACTGGTCAAACGTACTCATCCCGCCCCACATGGCCTCCCGCAACGACGTCGTCAACCACTTCAAGCACAAGTTCTACCAGCGCTACATCGTATGTTTATTTTAATTTTTTTTTGCTTATAGCTCTTCATTTTATCAGGATTTTAGCGAGTCTTTCTGCTATCTATTATCTTAGATGTGTTGGTAATTGAACACAAATTACCGTATTGGGTGTGATATTAAGGTGAGAGGCCATCGAGAATGTTGCCTTGTGTGGATGGGTTAGATAGAATATTCATATGGAGTTATAAATTTGTGTATTCATAAGACCATTCGTTTATTGTTACACAGGAATGTAATTGTTGACTACTTGAGCTTAGTCTCATGATTTTGTTCCCTACCGTTCCTCACTTTTCTGCCTGTGATTGTTGAAATATGATAAATCTTTGGTAATACTTTATCTATGTCCAAATGTAGACAAGTCTTCGTTTCACAAGCAATTTACTTACTGAGATGCGAATGGAATTAAGGATTTTCGGTGTGAATTGGATATGCTTTTGCTCAAAAATGTTACCATATCAAATTTAATGATTTTTTTGGAAAGTGTGATTGGATGTAAGATGGTAAAACCTAGTTGATGCAATTCCAAAACAGAAATAATGGGTGGTAGTTAGAAATATGAGATTGATCGAGTAATAAATATTATAAAAATATATATTAATGATTGGGTTTTATTTTAAAATCTGCCTTGATAAAATTGAGGTGGAAAAAAGTGAGATGAGTAATATGTGTATTTTATGGAAAAAATATTATCATGGATATGAACAGTATAAAATATTGATATCCAATACACCTTGTGCGTCCAGGATGTGGTCGTTATGGGTTTGCAAAATATTTTATTTTGAATGGTGCAGTTATTAATGTGTTATTGTTATGAATTTTTCCTTGTTATTTATGTTTTGCTAATTTGTTGTGTTAATATGTAGGACCCTGAACTAATTGTGGAGCCAATAGTTACTGGCGGCACATCTCAGTCAGCGAGAGCATCTACCCCGCCATCACAGTCTTCATCTACTTCTAATAGCAATACGCGCCAGAGGACTTCTGGTCTGAATCTTGTTCAGTTCCTGGCATTGCATTTCAAAATTTTCATTTCCTTTTGTTATGCTCAGTATATAATGTATCTTTGACCAAAATTTACTTGATTGCAATTTGTAGGGTCCTCGACTAGAACCTCAGGAACATCAACAGCTCCCCCTCCCAGTGCGACGTCATTGCGCTGGGATCAACGGACCGTTCAATTTTCTGTCAATGCTTGGGTATGTCATGCTCATTAAATGCTCGATTTCAATGTAAACTTGTTTTGGGCGAATGCAAGTATGGAGTTTTATTGCCTTTTATTGTGTTCCGCGTGTCAACTGCTTCTATTGAGACCAAAGAACTTTTGGCTTCTCTCTCTCTCTCTCTTGAGTTTTATGGCCGTTATGCGAGTTGTGTGGGTCAACGGCGCGCGTTCAGTCCAATATTTTTCATCCTTGGCATACGTTTTCTTGAGTGCATGGAGCTTTCTGTGAAATATGCTCATTATCCTTCTGTTTTTGTTTCTCTTGGAACTGTTAGGTATGGTGAGCTTTTAGAAGGACATCTACAATGATTTCTTGTTCTACTATGCACTGAGTGCTATCAAGATTTAGTTAATTAAAAACAGTTTGTTGTGGTATGAAAAAAGCATGAGAAGACTTGTGTATGTGGTGGACGTAAATTACTTATTTGTTCCTCTTGGATGTTTTCTTTTGCCGGTCTCATTATCGTGAAATTGTAGCTGCTACTGTTTACAAATCTTTATCACAGCTCTTTCTCTCCCTTTCTCTTTCTCGTGGGGAAAAGGTGCAACTTACACTGTTATTCTTGCAGGTCGTTATTGTGGCAGTTCTTGCAATGTTTCCACTTGTGCCTAAAAACCTCTCGAATCGCGCATATAGACTTTCCTTCTTGGGGACTGCATGCTCTTCTCTTTATTCGTTGTATTCATTGTATGGGGTAATGCTCTAGTCAGTTTCATGATCTTATCCAATGGAATTCAACTATCTGCTTGCTGACATACCATTTTCGCAGAAACCTCGAGCATGGAACTTGCCAGCTTTGCAAGTATGGTTCCAGTCGGTGGTAGTTACCAAAGATTTTATCTACTCAATATACTGCCTTTCTTTTGTCACTTCGCATCTGTGCCTCAAATGTCAGTATTCCTGGAGTACTTGTGATTCTCAGTGTTGCATCTTTTGTTTGTTTAGTGGTGCTTTTCTCATCTAATAACAGTGCACATATTTTGATGTTTTGATAGTTGCTTTAATTCCCATACTTTGTCGCTCCTTGGAGCATGTTGCAAAGTTCTTGAGGCGCAATTTTAGCAGGTCATCCTTGTACAGGTGAGTTAGCATGAAAATTTCACGAGGCAAGCTAGTCTGATTTATGTTGTTACTGCTCTCTGTGTGTGTGTGTGTGTGTTCTTATGACTTTCTTTGTGTGCTTTATGCAGGAAGTACTTGGAAGAAGCTTGTGTTTGGGTAGAGTCGAACACGACTACTCTTAGCATTATGTCCTCACATGCTGAAATTGGAATTGGGTTCCTTCTGATTATTTCTCTCTTCTCGTATGTATCTCTGCGCATATCCCTTTCTTAATAATTTGTATTTAAGTACATTTTTACGGCACTACTTTCTTGCCTGGATTTTTGTACATCTATACATGCTAATATATATTTACTCATGTTAATTAATGTGCAGGTGGCACCGCAATATTATGCAAACATTTATCTACTGGCAGGTGTGCATCTCACTCTCTATTTGGAACTTGATCGTGAATATTTTCTTGTATATGGTTATTATTTGTGGCTATGGAGATTTTTGCTAGAGTCAACTTAAGTGAAAATGTTGTTGATGGTCACTTTGATTCCCTGTTGTGATTGCTTTATTCTCCTTTTACTTTGTGTGCTTCCTTTCGTGGTGGAGTAAACTTTAAAATCACTGTGATCCTAGAGTCAAAACTGTTTGGTACTAAATATTTGGCACAGCCAAAACATTTTGACTCAACTTTCTTTATCAATGCAATATTTTCAGATTTTCCATAGTAGCTGTTGTATGTCCTTGAATTCTGCTGTAAATTAATTATTGGCTCCAACTTATTCATATGGTGCTAAAATTTTATTTATGTTAATCATCCTGATTACCTTGTTTCATCTGTTGTTTATTTGTTTGTTCCTATGTAGATTTTGAAGCTCATGTACAATGCCCCTGCAACTGCTGGGTACCATCAAAGTACTTGGGCTAAGATCGGGCGAACTGTGAACCCATTAATCCAACGCTATGCACCATTCTTGAACACTCCGATTTCTGCCTTGCAGAGGTGGTTTTTCAGGTGAAAAAGCCGATGAGGATAGACATTCACAGAAGAAAAAAAAAAAAAAAGGTTTAATTAATTAAAGGCTACAAATGTGCCAGCATTTCATTCCCAGACAATGTAACATTGATTCCTAAAATCAACAACTAAAAATCTAGACATTATAAGCCAATGGTCTGGTTTATCACTCTTGGGAAATAATCAGTAAGAGCTTTTGGTGTTCTTAGAACAATCTCTTCGTCTTCGACTGTTTCCGCAAGTTATGTGTTGCGTTTCATGTTTGAGGGTTCCGTTCGGAAAATTCGGAATGAAACGAGAGCATGCAAGGACATTTTTTTGGTCTACTTGGAATATTGTTTACTACCACATATTAACTTATTATTTGTGAGAATTTGTGTGGTGTGTGTATTAAGTTGGTTGCAATTTTATTTTATCCTTATTTTAAGTGGTCTGGAGTTTGGGAATCCAGAATGTGCGTGTGTGTGTAGTCAGTGAAGCTGATTGGGGCTAAAGAGATAGCCAGCTATGAAGTATGGAGGCACCGATTGTCATTTTTGGTCCAATTAAAAATGAGATTGATGAGTGATAACTATGTTATCTCCTTAACAGGTGTAAGGAATCAGATTCTTTATTTTGGTGAGGGTTTTATTTTTATGTTTTTGTTATTATTTGCGATTTATATCGTGAATGAGCCGTGTGGGATTTCCCATTTGCTATAGTTGACAATTTTAACTCGCATGTTATGTGTACCCTTTGAACCAGTAACTCATACACCATCATAGAGCGATTAATAAATTAGTTTCGACCACCGCCCAACACCAGGGAAAAAAACCAACCTTGGCTCAGACCACCACAAGGCGATAATTGGAGGTAGCCGCTCAGCCTTGCTGCCGAAAACGCTAGAACCACTCTCGTGGACTGTGTAGCCAATCATTTGCAAACAACGAGATGCTACCTGACCGAGAGGACCACGATGTGACGGAAGCCAAAGAGCCCGGCCTAGTAGCGAGCTACGCCACGACTTCCCGCTGACAGGAGGTCGGCGGAAATCAAAATTCTAGGTTTTACTGTTCACTAAGGCAAAGAGGACTTGGAGCAGAGTTTATGTTGCAGAGACGTGAGACTTTCACTGTGGTGACTGAGTTGGGCGGGCAATGTCTATTCAACCTCCGCTCATTAGGTTTGATATAAGAAATTTTACATAATTTTGAACTTTTTGCATAATTTGACTCATTAACCGCATGAGTTGGAGTTCAACGGTTAATGAGTCATGAGAGGCTCGAGCTCAATTTTGACTCATTTATAATTCTATCAAAATATACTAAGAGGGTAGACCATTAAAAACTGCAGCTTGTTTATAGCTCTATCAATACTATTAAGAAGATCGACCTCAAAACACTAGAAAAAAAGTTAATTGAATTTGCTAGTCAAACCGGTTACTATTAGAAAGATGACCTCAAAAAGTGAAAAAAAAAAACAGTTAATTGAATTTGCAATTCAAACCAAACTAATATAATAGGCTATTAGATTAGTACAGTAATGCTCACCTACCCACGGTGAACGCATGTTAACATACTCACCGCTTATGCAGACTATCGTCTAAATCACCAACAATTAAATTATGCCTTTATAATAAGTTAATCTTCACGCATGCCAATGCAAAATCCGACAATTATTAGCACCATCCCGAATTACTATAATGACAACGTTTTGCAGATCCCTATAAAGCTACTGTACTGTTCCTCGGGCCTACAAAATACTTCTTCTTTTCAAATTTCGCAGCATAATAAAATCTCTCTGATTCGCGCTTGCACGGCCAACAACGGCGATGGAGACGGTGTCGTCCCTGCCGGCGAATCTGTCTTCCTTGGATTCAATCGGCGAGATAACGGAGGAGACGGAGAGCGACACTCTGGTTAGGATGTCCAGCTTTCCCCTGAACCAGCAGCGGCGGCGGAGGGTCGGATGCAAGGCGGCGCGGCCGCGCCGCCAGCAGTCGTTCGGCCGTGAGATCGGCCATGCTGCGGCCGAGACTTATTTGCTTACTCGGCTCAGCTTCAAGCTGCTGAGCTACCTGGGGTAGAATCTCTCTCTCTCTCTCTTTCTCTCTTTTGCCGAAGTTGGTTGATTTTGATGGTAAAAAATCAATCTTTCTAGCTGTTTGATTAGATAAGTTGGCATAAGTGAAGAATGAAGATGTGGGTTTGTGCGGTTGATATTTGAGCAATTATATTTTGGGTGATTATTGATGCAGCTTGCTATCGGCTGCGATTTATGTTGAGAAATTATGTGAAATTATGTGGGAATGTGTAAATTGATGAAGAACGATACGTGTGACCGTGACATGAAATCGACTATGTGATGCCGATTTTGCAGATAATGAAGAAGCACGTCGTGTTACGATTTGGTCTTAAAAACTTGAATACTATCTCTGTACATTTTTATCCGATTTGCCAAATTGTGTCGAAAAGTCATCGATGAATTTTGTTTATATGTGACATTCACATTATTTGGACAAACTATGGCTGGTTTTAGTTTTATGTTATTCTAATCATTGGTTTTATTCAGGGTAGGTTACCGGTGGATGTCAAGACTGTTGGCCCTTGCCCTTTATGCCATGTTACTTATGCCTGGATTTCTCCAAGGTAATTTTATCGCAAACTTTGAAGGGTTGTTAAATTTTCCATTCAGAAGGTTCTCACTTGTTTAGCCCATAAATATTGTGATGGTTGGTATCTAAAATAATTTTTCTAAAGGAGACTTATGGTAAGATGGAATATATGAATGTGCCAATTACCTTAGGCTCGTATCTCTAAGCGAAGAGAGTAGTACTTTGGTAAATATTATAGAAAGGCGATGTTAAGTGTGGATGGATAATAGTGCGACAGTTCATAGAAATAGCAAATCGGGAAATCATTTGTGAGTTCTTTTGTTCTTTTATTCTTCTTTATGTAAAGGGCAGTCGTATTTGTTCATTGTCTTATTGGCATATTTGTTCATCGTCTCCAAATGAGATATTGGTGTTCATATTCATGTTTCAAGGCTAAGGGTAAGATGTATTTAATTTTTTCTTCTTGGCAGTTGCTTTTAGTTATTTCTTTTCAAGTCAAGTACGTCGAAGCATTGTGTATGGAGATCAACCAAGAAATAGGTATGATTTTTTTTTTCACGCTTGTCCTCTTAATTATACTTCCTTTTTTTTTTTTTTTGCGTGTTCACCATAAAGAGCCAAAACTTCATTGCAGGTTGGATTTATATTTACCTACGAATAGTGATGGTTTGAAGCCAGTAGTGATATTTGTAACCGGTGGGGCATGGATTATTGGGTAATCGGAGTTGATCAATCTCTCTCTCTCTGCATTTTGTTCTTAGTAGATCTAATATGTCTGCCTGTGCAATACAAGATTTCTCCGAACTTCGTATAATGCTTCATTATTTAACTATAATGGCTCATTGTGTTATTCTCTTTTCTGTCACTAGTGAAATGTTATTTAAGGTTTGGCAATAGTAATGTAAAGTTTTCTAGCACACACTTGTTCTAAATGAAGTCTCTAAATCTGTTGATATTTCATTATATATATATAATCTATCTGTGGATGAAGCTTCGATTTTTAAATGCCTTCAATGATAAGCTTGCTGCAGGTACAAGGCATGGGGTTCCTTCCTAGGACTTCAATTCGCCGAAAGGGATATCATAGTAGCATGCCTTGATTACAGGTATTATACTCTGCTATAGTTGTCAGATTTTTCATTTTAGTCCAGATATTAATTATTGAATGCTTCGATTATATGTCTTTAGTGTTACGCGAGATATCTGATCCTTCACTTGACCATATATACTTTTTCTCATAACTTTTGGTGCAGGAATTTTCCACAGGGGACAATAAGTGATATGGTTAATGATGTTACTCAAGGAATCGAGTTTATCTGCAACAATGTTGTTGAGTTTGGTGGTAATCCAAATAAGTGAGTATAAATTTTGATAATCGTTGCAAAATATTATTGATCACTATTCATAGTTGCCAAATGCAAAAAAAATTTGACTTGTTAAATATGCAGGATTTATCTAATGGGCCAATCAGCTGGGGCGCACATATCTTCATGTGCTCTTTTACAGCAAGCAGTAAAGGAATCGAGAAATGAGAGCATTTCTTGGAGTGTGTCACAGATAAAAGCTTATTTCGGTTTGTCAGGAGGGTAAACACGTAAATTTGGACTACACATTGTATTTATTCTTGTTGATTGAAGCTATAAAATCAAAATTCTTTATTATACAACTCTTATGATAATACTTACTGACAGGTATAATTTGCTCGAGCTAGTCGAGCATTTTCACAACCGAGGTTTATATCGCTCCATATTTTTGAGGTACTGAAAAAAGCGAAAAAAATGTTCATACTCGTTTGGTGTAAGTTTGGTCTTTTCGACAAGTTTTAGTTAGCACCATCTTAATATATTATCTTCATTCGTGATCTCAAGTATCATGGAGGGTGAAAAGGCACTAGAACGATTTTCCCCAGAAATAATAATACGAAATCCAAGCTCGATTGATGCAGTTCGGCTTCTGCCACGTATCATTCTATTCCATGGCACAGCCGATTATTCAATACCGGTCGATGCAAGGTCAGTTATGTAATTACGCTAAAATGCCGGGATAGTACAAAGTATCGTTTGCTAATCTGAGAGATATGACTAAATATATCTATTATCAAAGACTTTCTCCCAGTGAATTGCATTTACATTTTAATCATTTTTTGGTTTACTCGTGTGTTCTGTATGGCAGCATAACATTTGCAGCCACGCTCCAAAGACTTGGCGCTCAAGCAGATCTCATACTTTATGAAGGGAAAACTCATACAGACTTATTCCTCCAAGTAAGATACAGTTTCTTCTCCAATTGGTAGGGCGCGATGGACATAAATAAAATCGATTTTGATTGGATTGATTGGTTAAAATGAGTTAATTTTAAATAAAGTTGATTGAATAGTTGATTGAGTGAGATTTTGAGTTTGTATTTAAATATTATTTAAAATGTAATAATATTTTAATGTAATAATTAAAGTTGATGGGATATAAAAGTAGGAGAGATGTTATTGGAAATGATAGGAAGTTAAGAAATATGCGAGTGGATGAATAGTAAATTAAAGGTGATATGATGTGTGAACATAATTGATTGATATTATTTAATTATATTGATAATATTGAGGAGATTATGGTTAAATTGAATTAGATAAGAGTTGAATTTTGAGTGAGTAGAGTAAAAATATTATCCAGTTAGTCAAAACTAGATACAATCTGTAACCAATCGTGCCCTTAATGTGGGAAAATGAGAAGTTTCAATGATATGCAACTCAAGATAATTTGCAACTACATTAGTTTTATTTGTCCTAACCATTGTCCAAACATAGGATCCTCTGCGAGGTGGTGAAGACGAGCTTTTCGACTATTTGGTGGGCTTTATTCATGCGGATGACAAGGAAGCCCTTGCTAGGGATGCTATGGCACCTCCAAGACGGCGCTACGTGCCGGAAATACTACTGAGATTGGCGGGCCAAGTCAGCCCATTTTAGCCCGTTCATTCGAAAGCTCTGGGTTTTGTATGTATGCTTTTACTAAAGGATGGATCTTGGTTTGCAATCATGGCGAACTCAAATGGGTTTTGATGCTATAATTCAAATGGTTCTGATGCGTTTTTCTTTTCTCCCCCTTTATTTGGCTCGGCTTGATGTGGTTGTGGCGCTTGTGTATAAAAACTTGGTACAAATTGAAGTTGAGACGCGTTTTGTGTTGTACTGTACATTTTCCATTCTTGTGGACTATATATTCATATGGAAAGACTAGTGAACTGTCGGTTGTGCACGCACAGCCTGCCCGAGTTTAGGCTATTAAAAGTAGTGAAATATTGATTGTTTTTTACCTGCTTCCAAAAAGTGTTGGTTGAAAGGTTAAAAATGTGTCAAACTTTTTTACATATATTTGGCCCACTCGAAGTTTGAGTATTTAGTAACCCCCGCGCGCGCAGTCGAAAGATGGTCTTAGTGCCTCTATGGAAGTGTAAGTGCAGACAACTGTGTGCCTCATTCTAAACTAGAACCTAAACCATATGATAACTATGAAAACAAAAAGAATGCTAAGTTGTTCGAGGTTCCAGCTGATATCATATAATATCACTAATAAGGTTGGTTGATGACTACAAATCTGACCAACTACGTGAAGCCATAATTTGGACATCACATGTCCTAGAATAGGCGAAAGTATATTATTGGGTGCCCTAAAACAATATATAACAAAGAAGATTATAAAAGATGAAGTTTATAGAGAACTTCAATACTTCAATATGCAGTGGTCAGGCCTTCCAGTCGAAGGCGTATAGCCCAGCGAAAACCTTCAATGCCTCGTCCAAGCTCCGATTTTTTCACTGGCTAGAGTGAATCGTGTTTTAGTTGGCTATACCCTGAAAATACCTGCTCATGACCATATAATCCAATAGCCTGATTGAAGCCTCATTGAAATGCCCATCCCGGCACAAAGAACTGATCAATAACGCGTCCAGCTCATACCGACCAAGAACATTTTCATTACGAAGTTCCTGCCATCCTCCTATTTCCCTAGGCCTGTAACAGGATATTAGAGGATATCGCGTTCACCTATCATCCTCTTCCGGTCAGGCCCTAGAAGAACTTGAAGGCCTCATCCATCGGCCCTTCCCGACACATTGCCCTAATTATAGTATTGTACGTGTACGTGTCGGGATGCATCCTTCTCTATCAAGCAGCTTCATGGTCAGACCCTCTACACCTTAACTGACTTGTTTCTACTGCTCGGGTTGTCACCGACGATAACCGTTGAAGTTTGCTTTGCAATATCCACAATCCTCTAACCAATGTAATTCTCAAATATCAAAAATCATCTTGAAAAGCTATAAATTTGCCGAGAATAAGGACTCGACTAATAACCGAGTCGGGCAAGAGCTGAGCCTACTGATTCAGTCCATCACCAACGATCTGTCGTAGCCGAGTACTGGAATAAGACATGAAGGCAAACTCAGTTTATCATATAGCCTTTAACAGCCTAAGAAGAGGAGAAACTAGAAACCAAAAACTATTATTATACAACAAAATTGGGTCACAAACGGGTTGTAAGCCCATTCACAGGCGCCGCCAGCTTCAGCTACAAGTTCTACAGCCTCGCCGACAATAAAATCGTAACCCTCGAAACAGGAAAAAGCTGCTGCCATGAAAGAGAATTATTAACGCATCTGCACATGCGTTTCTCTGGATCTTCACACGGCTGGCTCGCTTTATTGAGCCCCAGCCTCGATCTGTTTCTCTATAATCCCATCTCCCGTCGCCACATAAAACTCCCTCCGGTTCGCGACCTGCCCGAATTCCCGCCTGGCCCCCCCATGATACACAAGCTCATACTCTCGTGCTCTTCGGACACACCAAATTGTCGGGCCATCATTATCTACAACAGCATGCGTGCGCTGGCTTTCTGCTGCCCTGGCTTCAGCAAGGAGTGGACCCAGCCATATCGGCGATCACCACTGGCTCGACCCAAATTCGGGACGACCATTCCGCAATATCGGCAATGGCTATTGGGATTGTGTCTACTCCACAAGACATGAAGCACTGTTTACCCTCACGAGAATGGGCGTGTTGGAATCTTGGGATCTTCGAGACCCTCATTCACTGAGGGCGGTGAAGATAGCCGATGTTGTACGCAAGGAACTATTTAGGATTAGCTATTCGAATGACTTGCAGCTAACGTGTGATAGAGTGCAGCATTTGGTAGTGGCCGGGCAGGATCTCCTCGTGGTGACTCAATACGTGGTTGGATGTTTTGATTTTGATGGATTGTATGTTGACTGCGATGACCCGCATCAGAATACCTTCGATCGAGGCCTTCCGTTTGTGACTATTGCTTTCAAGGTACATAAATATGACCGTGAGGATGAGGAGGTTGAGTACGTCAACTCTTTAGATGGCTTGGCGCTTTTCGTCGGTTACCACAGCGATTCATTTGCGTTGCCTGCGGCAGAGTTTCCGGAGCTCAAACCCAATCCCATTTACTTCGCTAATGCGCTAGAAGAAGTCATGAGTCCGTATACACCACCAATTGGTGGCCATGACATCGACATTTTCAATTATGAAAACAAGACTGTTTTGTCGTGCTATTATCCATCCATCTGATGACAAGGAATAATTGATATATGGGGTCCTGAGTATCAAAGACAAACAAGATCACAAAATATCAAAAGATGACAGGCAGACTATGTGCATTGGTATATAGAAAAAGAATTAATTTCTCAAAGACCATTTGGATCTGATATCATAATTTTGGCACAATGTATTTTGCAAGTGAACCAACTTTGGAACACATATAGTGTTTTTTTTTTTTTTTTTTTTTTTGATAGATTACCTAAAGTACGAGGCTATTTTAAAATCAATACCCATTTTGAAATTTGTTCGAATTCAGTACCCAAACTTTCATTCTGTTGGCAACATTATTACGCAGCCGGTAAATCTCCGTCAATTTCCCGTTAGTTGTTAACGAAAGTGGTCTAAATGGAGGGAAATTTGTTTGTTTTTTTACTGGAAAATTATTATTCCAAGAACTACTGTATGAATTAGAAAAGAAACCATGCCTTCTCATATTTTCGATCTTTCTTTTGTCGATATTTTTTTCAATTTTTTCCAATATTCTTACTTATAAACAGTGGAGGCTGTGTTTTGTTGAAAAAATTGTACACATGCCTTATATATAGGTTTCATCCGGCTCCAAAAAACAGACAATTTTTCTTCTATTTTGACCACTTCCATTAACAACTAACGGGAATTTGACGAAGATCTAACGGTCGGATACTAACGTTGCTAACTGAATAAAAATTTGGGTACTGATTTCGAATAGGTTTAAAACTTGTTACTGATTTCAATATGACTTTTATTTTGAGTATCAAAACTGCAATTTTTCTTTTTAACAAACATGAGAATTTTCAAATATAAAATTACAAGTTGAAACTGCATAACTCGAGAGTAACATCTCAGTATTAAAGTAGTGCGAAATGAAAAGATGGAATCAATGAAACTTATTTATTAGCGCATGTTTTAGAAGCATTTTGAAATGGATTTTGATTGTAAAAAGTCTATTTCCTAAATAAGAAAATGTTCTGTGTAACTAATAAAATGTAATTTTAGAAAATGAACTCCCACAATTTATATTGGACCTTATTGAGAAGTCAATTTTTAAAAAGTCTATCATTAAATGGAAATTTAAACCATATTGGCACATCTAAGGAATATAATCGTAATCAACATTTATAACTAGGGCTACAAACGAGCCAATCGACTCTCGACGCTCGGAGTCAAAGCTCAGCCCGAGGCTTGAGCTTAACTGAACTCAAGTTGAGCTCGAGTGGCTCCAGCATGTTTTCGAGCCAAATTCGAGCATATGTTTAAAAGGTTGAGCGGCTCGGATATGTAGTGAATTACTAAAATACCCTCTGTATATAAATATTTCAATATTTTAATATATGTTGTTAATGATAATTTATTAAATATATGAGTCAAACTCGAGCCAAGCTCGAGCAATCTTTCGAGCATTTTGATTTCAATCGATCTCGAGTTGAGCCCGAGCAATTGTCTTCTTTTGTTGAGTCGATCTCGAGCGTCATAAATCGAGCTCGAGAGCAAGTAAAAAGAAATCAATTTTCCTCGATAAAGTCAATGCTCGACCAGACTCGATTTTCAGTTTTATCTCAATTTTTCTATAATTTTTTTTTTTTCAATTTGGTGCAATTTTTTTCAATTTGGTGCATTCGTTGCAAAATCAAAAAATCAAATTTATAAAATTCTATAATCGCACCCCACAATGTAGAAAAAAGCCAAACTAAATTTTTTTACAATAAATAAAAAATGAAATGAATCGAAATGCAGTGAATTGCATAATTCAGTTTGATTTTGCAGTTTGGGCTCGATTTTCCTCACCATATCGAGATGATGAGGTGAAAAAGATATACACCTAAAACCAGTGTTTTTCAACCCAGAACGGCCCGACAGGTCGATCCGGAGCATGAACCAATTCGGGTGGGTTAATGGAACCGAGCAACAGAGGACTCGGTCGACCTGGGGCATTGACCCGGCTAGGTCAACCCGGTTGACCCGGTCCCTATATAT